ACACTATTAAACACTATTAAACACTATTAAACACTATTAAACACTATTAAACACTATTAAACACTATTAAACACTATCAAAACATCAGGTACTTCCTCTTTCAATTCATTCATCGTAGCTTTTTAAAAGAAGGTTTATGATTAAATTTTCGTGATCTATATTTAAAAAAAACAACCTACTTTAAAACTACCATCAGCATCCAAAATAATTTTGTTCACACATTTCATCAAGTGGTGGAAATGTCATGTAATTAATGTATAATTCTCGTGGTTTGAATTGTATTTGATGTTCTCGACCACAATAAAGAATTGATAATTCTTAGATACGGGCAGGAAAATAAAAGATCTTTTGGGTAAAGATAACCACAAATTTCAATTATGATTTCAGATGGTGTCACTTTTTTTTTTTGTTTATTATTTAATTGGCTTTTTCGTTTTACATAATCAAATTCCTTAAAGGTTTATCAAGTAAACTCCGATTATTATATTTTTTTAACAGAAAAAAAAACTGCAATTTTAATAGGTTACGCGGTTCATGAACTTTGTACCTGTTCGTCAAAGGAAATAGAAGTTCCGTTATTTATTATCTTTTCACAGTTTTGGCAAAAGAATCTCGGATTTGCAATTGCGATAGGAACTTGAATTATATTTGTATAAAGTTCACGTAAAGAGTTCTATTTTTATCAAAAAATAAGGTTATGACATGAAAAGAAATAGGTAACCTACTGTATAACACGTTAAGAAATATAAGAAATACCATAATGAGTTTAAATTTAATGTTGTGACTAAAGCCAAAATGTTTTCAGAGTCTTTTATTCAAAGCTTAATCTTCAAAATTTATCAGATTAATTAGGAAATGTGGAACTGCTTCACTCGTTAAAAATCACAATAACTGGAATATGAAAACTTAAATAATTGTTACAGTATTACCCTTATGTAGTGTTTGGACTCGAGTCAACCCGCAGTTTAAAAACATAGTCTTGACTCGAGTTAATTTGAGTTAATTTGAGTTAAGATTATGTTTTTTAAGCTACGAGCCTACTGCGCTTATGAATTCAACAGATGCCTGGTACCCTGTACAGTACCCTCTTTCTTAGATGGTATCGGGTACTAACTTAAATTGAGTATCGAATGCTACGTTCTACGGTACGTATGCACGCTTATTTTTTTGACACCAAATCCCATTTCAATAACAATAAGTTTTTTTCATTCTATTATCATGGCCAGATTTGGCAGGTTAAAACTCTATTTTTCAATAACAACCAGGTATGACAAACGAAATGAATGCCAACTCAATTGTTAATAATTGTTAATAACGGAACTTTGCCCTACATTCATTAAGATTTTATAAACATAAATATATAATTTATATTTTTATTCTGATATCGATTTTTATTTTCATCTACATTCTTTATTAAGAAATATTCTTTTCTTTATCATAGTATAAAGTCAATATATATTATTGTAACATTATCCGGCAAACTCTTATGATTATGAAAAAAATTCTTTTTATTTTTTTTTCATGAATTACGATGTAATTATGTTTATTCCAGTATTCAAATTAAAACTCAGCGAGCGACTCCCTACCATAAATTGTCGCGGTAATTTGACAAATTTGTCAAATTACCGTTATTTGACAATTTTACCCAATAATGTATGCGCAATGTCGTAATTCATTATAATTATCACGACAAATTACGGCATTGCGCCCACTACGGATTTAAATAACAATTACTGAATTATTGTACGTAGCTGGCAATAATAAATAAATTGCTCCCAATTTAATAACTTCCTTTTCTTGGTTTAATAATCCAAATATCGATATAAACAATAAGCAATAGATTTTAATTATAAATAAATCAAATATTATTTACCATCGGGAATTTACTTTCTAAAACATAAAACAACTTTTTCCACCATGTCTGAAGAAAGCGAAAACTATTTGATCAACTTTCTTTGGAAAACCAACAGATATTTCTTCGATTGTTTTTGATAATGAATTATATATTGTAAGTTTCAAAAGAAACTATAAGAAATATATTAAGAAGAAATGGTTATGAACCCCGAGTAAAACCTAAAACACCTCTTCTTACAATATTAACTTTTATGTTAAGGAAAACCTAGGTAGGGATAACCGAAAACGCAAGGCAACTGATTACGAATATGTAAAGATAGACGATATAAATTTGCCGAGTAACATTTAAACTGGACTGCTAAAGATTGGAAAAAAGTAGTCTTTTCAGATGAGGTTAAATTTATACGTTTTGGATCTAATTTTCATAAATTTTATTGAATACGACCAGGAGATTCAATGGTAGATGATTATATTGATCCAAAAATAAAATATGAAGATGGTACAATGGTTTGGGGTTGCATTATCTCTCATGGTGTTGGCCACTTAATAAACTTCGAAAAAATAAAAGAAAAAAGGAACAAGATGAAATTTAAAATTTAAAAACTAGTATTAAACCAGAATTACCAAACCAAGCAGAAAAAGAAATTATGTCATATTGAAAAATCCCTAAGGTTACTATGCAATTTTGGCTAGAGATCTTTTTGGATTTAGGTGTTAATGATATTATTTTTCAACATGATGGAGATTCAAAACATAGAGCAATTGATACTAAAAATTGGCTTTATAATAGAAATCTCAAATTTCTTAATTGGCCTCCATATTCTCCAGATTTAAATATAATAGGAAATCTTTGGGGTATAGTAAAGCAATGTTTAGAAAAACTACATATTCAGTTATGGGAGCAAATAAAAAGAATATGGGATCTTATTGATAATAATATCATTAACAACTTATTCGAATCTATGCCATGATAAAAAGGAGGTTATATGTATAAACTGCTAAAAAAGATCTAATGTAATGTTATATCAGTATATAGTAATTAATATTGTAATAAAGTATATGTATTAAAACTACAGTTTAAATCCAATTTAAGAAAATAAATATCATTGCCTGCATTTGCTATATTGACGGAAATTTTTACAATTAGCAACATACTTTACATTGTTAACTTTTTAAAAAATGTTATTTATTAGGGAATTTTGAAAGATTCAAAAATCGATTCGTATAAATAGCTTGTGGATGTGTCTTATATTTAAATTGTGTCAATTTGACTTTATTATATAATAAAAAATTTTTATCAGTCTTTAATGCTTTCAATTTGCTCGGATAATTCGGTTTTTTCATCTTTCAAATCATAAAAAAATCGTCTTAGCGTATTAGCTAATTATTCAGCAGTTGAGGTTCTGCATCTAAACATTTATTCACCAGATCTAAAAGTAATTGAGGAACTTCGCATATAATTTTGGGTCGACAACATAGACAGATACGTGTTCCTGGATCTTCGTTATGTGGAATATCATGATATGGAGGATATCCAGTAAAAACTTCTGACATAATCATTCCGGAAGAATAAATACAGTATCTGATTTTTGAGTGTACTCCTTTTCATTTGTATACAATCTTCTGGTGCAATATAGGGAAGTACACTAAAGAATGCTTTAGAACTTGGGTTTCGTGACACTGGCTTACATAAGCCAAAATCAGTAATGAAAGGATTAAATATATTTTGATTAACTATATTTCCGGAATGAAAATCTTTATACACTAAGTTGGCTTCATGAATTGTATAATTGCCGAATTGCCCCATGCTTGTTTAAATTTTCAACCTAAAATATTAATTAGGATAAATAAGATTACTATATACACTTTAATAATCGTAAATTAAGATTCATACGTGCTTCTTCTAAAAATTCTCGTTTTATATCTTTAGAGTGATCGAGACGTTTTAAGCAAGCATCTATTTGCGAACTTCTCCCCCATTCATTCTTCTTTCGATCAATTCCAGTAATATTTCCGTCAATCCATGTTGCCTTAAAAACAGTGTCAAAGCCTCTTTAGCAAGATACTTTATATTTGCGAATTTGCTAAAGGATATCCATTCAATAATGTTATTTACATTAAGTTGTGTTTGTTGAATTAATTGATCAATGTCATAATTATCGCTTGTCCAATTATGAATTTTTCTTGCTTAAATCTTAATAGAATGTTGAAAATAATAATTATAATTAAACTAAAATTTATAAAATTTAATAAATAATATATACCGTCTATCATGGGGCAATTATTTATTGCATTAATATTAACATGATTTGAACAGTGGATTACTGTTAAAAAATTCGCAGTTACTATACTTACCGACTATTACGGTTGCGTAAGTAATTTAGATAGATTATGCTTACATACAGATTTGTGGAATTTGATAAATAGAAAAACCCATGAGCCGTAACTCTGGTCAAATTTGCAGATCATTTGGCCAGCTTTGAAAAATTGGGTAAAATTCACCACCCAAATTTTTTCAGATCATGTGGTTATTTATTCGAAATATGTATGTTTCATATATGAAGAAAATAACAACGCAAATGTATACAGTAATAATTAAATTAGCGTCTCTGCTTCGCTTCACTTTGGACGATCATATTATGTGATCTGGGTGGTGTATTTTACTTGAAATCAAATAATTTCAAACCTGGTCAAATGATCTGCAAATTTGACCAGAGTTACGACTCATGGGTTTTTCTATTTATCAAATTCCACAAATCCGCCGATATGAGGTTTGTAATGGACTTCGTTCAGTTATTGTACTTACCGACTTAGATAGAATTATGTTAATTTTGTAATGGATCTATCGTGATTTGTATAGTGATTTGCTATAAAAAGTTTGTTAGTTTTGTAATGGACTTATCTTGTGATTTGTATAGTGGTTCTTTGTAGAAAGTTCAGTTGTACATTTCACAGGATAGCGCAAAAAATAATATAATGTATTATTTTGCAAAGCATTTTCTTTGTAGAAAGTTCAGTTGTACATTTCACAGGATAGCGCAAAAAATAAATCAATTATATTATAATGTATTATTTTGCAAAGCATTTTAAGAGTCGGCTCGCAGGAATGACCTAACGTTCTATTTTAGTTTTGCCAATACTATTAAAAAGCTTATAGACCTTCTCGGCCCTTTCTCAGAAGAACAAAATAACATTGGCCAACTAAATCTCAATTATAATTTACAAGCAAAAAATTGACATTCTGGTCTGTTTTATTTATTAAATCATTAACAATAAATTTGCCATAGTTCTCCGATTACAAACTTATATAAGTTTACACAGATTATTTTCTAGGCAAGTGATGATTTCTCTCATAAAATTGGTTAACTTTAACACAAAACTTTTCTAACCACTTCTCTTCATTAGTTATTTTCCACTTACTTGCATCCTGACAGACTCAACAAATAGTCTCAGCTCTCCCTTCAATTTATCTATTAGTTTCAACAACGACATTTTCTTTCCAAACTTGATAATTCCAATTATTTGACACAATCTGCCGTAGTCCTGAATAATTGCTTGGCATGGATCGGAGTAAAGTTGCAACAGAGTTGCAAGGCCGAAATCAATAAGATAGAAATGGCCATTTCTCTGTATAACGTTTCGTATGGCCACGTCTCCATGTGTGTAACCACTGGCATGTATCTTCTCCAAGCACGATAATAGATCTAGAATTATTTGAAAAATTGTGTAATCATCTATATTACCATTATCAGAAATCCATGATTCCAGAAGTTGCCCCGCAAAATCGGTTAGTAAAGCCAGGTATCCTTCCCTTGTATAACCTTCGAAGAGAATTTTGGGAATGCAAGAAAGATCACCTAGTGCTTGCAACGCTGATATTTCATGGTAAACTTGAGAAATTTCAGTGTCTTTGCGAACTTCAATCTTTAGATAAAAATTGTTCAATATGTAAGTTTATTATACACAGTATGAGACATTCTCAGGATTAATTTACCTTCAAAACAGTATCCTTTATTTCATAATCATGTACTTGTGCCAAAAAAACTATACACTCTTCCAGTTCCAAGATGAGATGTAATCTGCACATGGATATAATTTCCAGAGTTTAATCTGATATGAATGCCCTCTTCGATGAAGAACGCCAAGAGACTTTCAGAAGAAATTGATATATACATATACGTATCATTGTTATTTTGATACACTTTTTTTTCGCCATTAGATCTTATCTTTCTCTTTATCAGGAGATGATAATAATGATCAATTAGACCGGCGATAATTGCGGCCGTGAGTACACTCTATTCATAATTGCAACTTTGCTCAAACTTCATTTTTGGGGTACCATTATCATCTATTAATAATTGGATTTTCGTAAATTTCCAAAGTTTCCCATCAGTTAAACATCCATAGAAAACGTCTGATTGAGGACTTTTTGCTGTAAGGTATTTCCTGGCATATTTTATTAGTTGACCTTTCCCTTCCTTTACTTTTGTATTATTAGTTAAATCATTCTTGACTTCCCAACCCAAGCCTTTTGATAAATCAGGTGGGCTATTTGTCAATTCTCGGCAGTAATTGGTATGGCCAATTATGATATCAGCGTAAATTTTATCTTCTTCTCTGCCACTATAATCTCCGAGTACAAGCAGCTCAGCTCCTAAGTACAACGTATTTACGATTTCATTCACAACATTCTTGCAAAATGGCTGATTTACCGTGATTTCATTTGATCCTTGTATAGGAGCATCAAGGTGTTTAGCAAATACTCTGCGACCAAGCTCTAGCTCTATATAAATATCCTTATCCTCCATTATTTCCCAAGTTTGTACGTCTCCATGTTCTTTCACATAATTGTACACAGAGGAAGACTTTCTTGTATTGTCCGTTTTAGAAAGGAATAACTCATACCTCAAAACCCTAATTTCCTCTATATATTGTTCTTAATAAAATGGAAATAATGATGCACACGTTAAAAAGTAAAAGCAGTATGTTCGTCACGTTGACCAAAATTATTACAACTCATTTACCAGCAACGACAACACAAATGCGTTTTTTGGGCGGGTTTGACGATAAGGAGCAGGAAAGAAAAGCACATTATGTAAGTATTCGGTATTGTGACAGAAAACGAGAGTTTAAGCAATATTATCTTATGTCTCAAGAAAAGCACCAGGTAGGGAGACTAGAGATCTCAAATAATTACGCTTTTCTTCATCACTATCACAGTCATCAAGGAGAGATAACGCGTCAGTCTGATTCTTTTCATTTCCGGTGAAGTAACCAAATAAACTTATTTTTTCATTTAAAACGAAGCCGAGACGCTTTATTTCTCCTTTTAGAATTGAAAGTGAATCAGACATGTTTTTGGTGCACAAGTTGTACAGAACGTAGAAAAAAAAAGATGGGTAATGTTAGACTTATGGTGGTTTGCTGTAAAAGTTCGATTACTGTACTTACAGACTATTGTAATTTGTAAGCGATTTAGATAGGATTATGTTAATTTTGTAATGTTTGATTGCTGAAAAAGTTCAGTTGCTGTACTTACAAACTATTGTGATTGCGTAAGTTAGTTTTGTAATGGACTTATCGTGATTTGTATAGTGATTTGCTGTAAAGTTCGTCCACTGTACTTACTCGCTATGTTGACATAAGTATTTAGATAGGGTTATGTTAGTTTTGTAATGGACTTATCGTAATTTGTACAGTGATTTGCTGTAGAAAGTTCGGTTACTGTGCTTACGGGCTATGGTGACATAAGTGATTTAGATAGGGGTATGAGTTATCGTGATTTGTATGTAAAAGTTCGGTTACTGCACTTAAGGACTATTGTGGTTACGTAAGTAATTTAGATAGGGGTATAATTTATCGTTATTTGTATAGCGATTTGCTGTAAAAAGTTCTGTTGCTGTACTTACAGTGTTTAGATAGGGCTATGTTATTTAATCTTCGGTTACTGTACTTGCTCACTATGGGGACACAAATGATTTAGATCTGGTGAAAAAGTTCGGTTACTGTACTTACAGACGTGTAAGATTTAGATAGGACTATGTTAATTTTGTGTATAGTAAGAAGTTCGGCTACTGTATTTACAGACTATTATAGTTGCGTAAGTGTTTTAGATAGGGTCACGTTAGTTTTTAATGAATTATCGTGATTTGTATATAAAAAGTTCGGATACTGTACTTACGAACTATTATTGCGTAAGTAATGTTATATTGTGTAATAGACTTAACGTGATTTTATAGTGATTTGCTATAAAAAGTTCGGTTACTATACTTACTATACTTACGAAATAAGTGATTTATGTTAGTTTTGCAATGGACTTGTTGTAACAGTTCAGTTATTGTACTCACCGACTACGTAGATAGGGTTATGTCAGTTTTGTAATGGACTTATCGTGATTTGCTGTAAAGTTTGATTACTATACTTACTCACTATGGTGACATAAATGATTTATGTTAGTTTTGTAATGGACTTATCGTGATTTGCATAGATCAAATTGCTAACTTTTTAGGATGCTAAAATTTACAAATTCATAAGCTTTCTTTGCCCATATATCATTTGGTTTAATTTCTAATAATTTCTTCAAGTCAGCAATTGACTTTGGGGGCTAGTTTTTATACCCCCTTTCAAAACAAAAACTTTGAGCAATGATATCTCGGCAACCACCTGATAAAATTCGATAAAAAGTTTTTATTTCATTCTATTTGTTTAGTCGATTCGAATAAAAAAAATTTTATAGAATTTGGTCAGGTGGTTGTCAAGATATCTTTGCTCAAAGTTTTAAAAAAACTCAAAACGCCTATCAAAATAATTCTTTAAAACTTTGAGCGAAGATATCTCGACAACCACCCAACCAAATTCGATAAAATCTTTTTTATTCAATTAGGCTAAACTCATGTAATCAAAAGAAAAAACGTTCATCGAATTTGATCAGGTGGTTATCGAGATATCTTCGCTCAAAGTTTTAAAAAAATTTGGCGCAGCTTCTTTAT